ATATGCACATTTAGATTAAAACGCTATGCATGACTCAAAATGGTTCAACGTGAGTTGAGATTTCAAGACTTCAGACAGCATGGTGCTGTGGCAATAACCACCATAAAAAATCCTCATGGCTTTTGTTAAAGACAAGGGGAAACTGTTCAAGTACCAAAAAAGAAGCAAGCATTATAAAAACGCTCCCCTCCTTTCCAGGAGAAAATATACCACAGATTACTTTAACAGCAGTTAAGATCCATTATTGCAGGGGACTTAGACATGGTAGATCTGGAGTGTAGCCTTGCTGTAATTTTATATGCAAACTTATTTCTTCAAAGTGAAAACTCGTATTGAATAGGGAGAAATCTCCACCTACCATTTTTGATGCTGGATTTTCACATCTCTTTCAACTGGTGGCACATGCCTGGCACAGACAGGCACTTTGGGAAATGGGAAACACACAGCAGCATCAGGCTGGATGAGAATTAGCTGTATTTGCCATAACTTGTAGCCATACAGCCAGAGAAACTGCTTTGGCTAGTAACCACAGGTGCCTTTTAAATCTGAAGACAAGACACAGAAGCTAGACTGAGCTTTGTGAAGGATCTGTGAGAGCAGAGGAGTCTACATTCCAAGAGATGTATGTTGAAATGAGACTAAAAGTAGTAGATGTGGTCATATTGTCCAGGCCTTCTCTTCTGCCTACACTGATCACACCTTTTTCTGGCAAAATGGGAAGGAAAATCCTACAAGTGAGACCCAGGAGACTGTGGGAGTGCTGGCAACACTGACAGATCATTTTTTCCAGTCTCATCTTCCTCTTGGCATAAGTGTCAAACTATTCTTCTCTTGAGGGCCTGACTGTGTGAAGGACTCCAGGAAGGATGTATGAGCAGAAAAATCCATCTCACAATAATGATCAACAGCTTGTCCTAAACTGCTTTGTTGGAAACTAAGCCCATTCATTTCTTGACTCTTACAATTTATTTTTTTTTTTACTACACAGATAAAAAGGAAAAAAAATAGAAAAAAAAGAGGAGGGGAGAGATGAATTTATGGCTGTGGCACAAATTTTAATTTTTACCTTTTACTGATCTTACTGAAAAATTTTGCACAGTAAAATAAGTTGGGCTTTTATTACTCTGAGTAATTTAAGAGAAGGGGCCCTCTGTTCCCTTCCTTCATGAACCAGAACCACTTAACATGTGACGTTGTGTCCTAAATTGCATTTACAGAAGGAAAAATTGAAGGCTGCTAGGAAACACTTACGAATGTTATTTAAGATTTGCAGGCTCTCTAGACCCTCCCCCAGTCTTTTTAGGTAGGTGTTACCATAGACCCTCTTACAACTTTCTGCCCTGAGGGGTCTTAACTTACTTTTTTGTGGCTCTGGATGGCTGCTATGTACAGCAAAGGACCAGTTCTGACCAGCTTTAGGCTGAGAACAGTGGAAAAAGGGAAAATTAATATTTTTCCTTTTTTTTTGGTTTTCTTTTTACGATCACCCAAATGAAATTTGGCTATATTCCCTCAATGGGAAGTTATTTTACCCCTTTCAGAATTTTTCAGCCCAGTATGACACACCTAAAACCCCCAGAAAGTAGAAGCACATTTATGATTTTTTGGAATAAATTCTCATTTCCCCTGCCTACTCTCAGTTCAGCAAAGCCATGTGTTTTAGCAGGGAAAAAAACACCCTTTTCTTTTGCAGACTCACTAACAATATTTATAAAGAGTACAAGGTCATTGTGACACCAGGCAAGCACAGGGATCTAACTAGATTACAGCAGTCTCACAGAAAGCAAAGAAAAAAAATGTATAAAATCAACAAAAGAAAAGTCTGAGAAAAGTATGGTGCTTTAAAACAGGTAAATTCAAGTTCAAGTTATGATTAAAGAATTAACATGATGAACAAAGTGGCCAAAAGGGGAACAGAATGATAATGTTACAATGTGGGAATGTTTTAGCTACTTTATTTCTTATCCTTCAAACTGCATTATTTTTCCATTTTTTTGCTCTTAAAATGTCTTTTGATTAACCCATTAGTATCAATAGCGATCACAACAACCCTACAAATGTTTAAACAAAACAGGACATTTGTTTGACGCTTCAAAAAAAAAGGGAGAAATATTATAAAACAGTACTATTAAAGCTTTTTTTTATAAAACAACTGTATTAACAGTCTTTGAATAATTAACCAAAACCATATTCAGCATTGTCAGATAACAGTGAGCATTTGGGCCGGGTCTGGAACAAAACAGTACCAAACCAGCCAGGCTTGGTTTGCTGCCAAGCCACATCTGTGCCACATGTTTTGTGGGGGACATAAGCTGCTCCCTCAGAGGTGCTGCTGTTGTGAAACCACAGGGAGTGAGGCCCTGAGGTTCCCTCAGCTCCTCTGTCACCCTCCTGCCCCCAGGGAGGTGACTCCCTCCGAGCTGCCCACTCACTGGTCCAGCCGGGGGGATGACTCTGCTCCCAGGAGTGGCACCACCCTCCTCCCCAGCTGCTGCCTAGAGGGACTTTGTAGTGCAAGTGACTACACTGGTTTATTATGGCCTCTGGGCACCTTGTAGGAAAGATCTCAGACACCTTCAGAAGCAGCTGAAATCAATGAGATCAAGCGTGAAATGCTCAGCCAGTGAAACTCCCCAGTAGCTACGCAGACCCCCCACTGCCACCCACACCGTGTTTTCTGCCAGGTCTTCAGGTTCAACAATCCTAAAAGAGATGTTGATACCTCCCAGGTCTGCTACCTTGGTTTCATAGCCTAACTGCACCTAAGGCCATGAAAATTGGAACACCAATAAGACGCCAGGCATGAATAAGAAGAACATAACATGTTCCATGACTGGTGGCACTGGAGCTGCCCAGTAGGGTCCCAAGCTCTGCACAACTCATGTAACTGGTGCTTAATTAACTAGGGCTTGAGGGCACGTGTGAAGGACAGTGATCTCAGCTCTTATGGCACTGCAGCCCTGAAATGTAGAATGATTCAGAAGGGAGACATGAGCCAAAGCAAATTTAAAAGCTGTAGCAGCATAATTGACATATTCAGGATGCTCTTGGGTTTCTATTGAGTCAGATATGCTCAAAAGCCCTTGTTTTGCTTTAAGTTTTCCAAGTACATTTAACATAAAAACGTGCTGTTCTTGTGCAGAGATATGTCAATCTTTGCAGTTTGTAAAGTAAAAAGGTGTTTCATGCAAGAAGAAAACATAAAACTCAGTGCCAAGTTAAAGAGACTTTAGCCAGGTCCCTAGCTCAGTCTGCACCTCATGGGAAAGTGTCTCTGCAGACAGGGAAGCCAGGACTAGTGACCTGCCATGGGGCACAGAGCAGCAGCACAAGTCCTGGTAGAAGTAGTGTTCTATGTCCTTTTAAACGGATCTAAATTCTACCTCCTATTTCTGTTGCTTTCCCCCACCTGTCTGTATCTTCTCCCTGCTGATACTTGAACACTCACAGCAAGCAGGTGCCCCTCTGTCCTCCTGGCAGGTACTGGGATGCTTGGGATGAGCACAGATTTGGGATGAAAGTAATGCAGCAACCAGCATTGGTGAAGTAATGAGGTTCAGAGGAGTGAAAGGATTGTCCATTTGAAATCATTTTACACTTCTGCAGATCAGCACCTTCAGCTCTGAGCTTCTGACAGGAGGCATGCATGTGTCCTGGTGCCAAAGCAGGGCTGGTTCTAGCAATAAGTATTTTAATTAACACTGGGACTTCTATCTCTCTATTGAGAAATAGACATTAGTGAGAGACTCACAATGTATTTTGAAATTAAATCAATAAAATTTACCTAAATACAGGTAGAGCAAAACCTGCTGATGAGAGGGGACCAAAACAAGCCTAGTCTGCAGGCCCACAGATGAATTCTGTATCTCACTCACCTTTAGTTATTTAATGAACAATTCTGCAGGTGCCTGTCCCCCTTGGGTAGGCCATATGTCAGGAAACATCAGCTAACCCTGTCTTAAAGGAAATTCTTTGTCTCCTTTATTCCAAGCAACCTGCAGCAGTCTGGCAAAGGCCACAGCTGAGGCTACACAAATAAAAGGATGTGCTTTTGAGAGGCCATGGGCAAGCAAATCTGTTAGCTGTGGACCTTACATGCACTAGATCTTCTCCTAGCTCCACAGTGAAAATGTTTCTGCTGGTTGTCCCCTGGAGACCAGCCAGCTGAGATTTCTGAGCCCGCTCTGCAAAGTGAGATCTGGTGTCGGATGTGACTTGCCCAGTGTTTCTGAGTTTGCTCTGGCACAGGCTTGTTGAAGACGGGCCAAAAAAAAAAAAAAAAAAAAAAAAAAAAAAAAAAAAAAATTCAAGTCCCCAGAGTCTCCAGCTCTACTTCTTACTCATTCCCCCCCTTTCCCATCTCTGACATCTGCACCAAGAGCATGGGAAGTGCTGCCAGGTCAGGAGGGGGTGTCTGTGGGTCCTGGGGAGGTGTCAGTGTGACACAAGCCACAAAGTAAAGGTCCCAGAACCTCCCCACAATCCCAGGGTAGGGTGTGTGTTTGGCTGGCACGGTTCGGAGCGGCTCAGCACCAGATTTAGCTGCGGTGCATTCCCCGTGCTGGAGACCGGCCGGGACGGGCTCTCCCAATGCAGGAACAGCTGTCCCGTACGGGACATCCTCGCTCACGGGATTTTGAGCCCACAGAAGCAAGCACCAGGAGTTGTCCTGGGGCTCTGGGTCAGACCCTGCTCAGGTGTGACTGAGGAACCTGCAGAATGGGAAGAATTCAGAGCGGACATATTTCAGCCCTGATGCCATCCCAAGTGCTGCTATCCCTCCCCCCTGCTCCGTCCCCACCCCACCGATCAGCCTCTTTAACATGACAAAGAGCCCGGAGGAGCGGGCCGCGGTGAATATTGCCGTCCCAGGCCGGGAATGGCCGGCTATAAAGGCCTGTCTGCGCTTCGGGGCTGCGTCACCTCGGTGCTGGGACCTGTCCCCGGGGTGGAGGTGACATCTGCTGTGAGGGGGGGATCCGCCCCTCCGGCTGCCCTCCATGTGCGCGCACTTGGCGCTGCCCCCCTGCCCCGCGTACCCCGGCGGGGCTGCCAGGGGCTACCTGGAGCTCTGCTGGAACGCGGCGGGGGACGCAGGACAAGCCCCCACAGCGGCTGGGCCCGCGGGAGGCGCCGCGGCCAGGCACTCTCCAGAGGCACCGGGGAGGAGGCACACGGCAGGTAAGGCCTTGCAGCCAAATCCTGGAGCTGACCCCCAGGATAACTCTGCTCCCAGATCAGGCTCAAATGACTTTTAGCGGATTTTTGTCTTTCCCTGCTTTGGTTTCTTAGTGCGTCACCTGTGCAAACTGCGCTGTGGTAGGCAAGCGCAGGAGGGGGTGACCTTGGCCAGTCACACCACTTTTCCATGGTACTTTTCTTGGGTGGCTGCCAACCGGTTTCCTAAACCTCAGAAGAACCTGCAAGAGTCGAGGCACTGTCAGGTCAATGCTCCAGGCTGAAGGGCAAAGTGACAACTTGGTCTTATGGAAGTTCATGGTTCTTGGTGCGGCAATGTCTGGGCCTTCTTTTAGTTAAATGCTGTCATGTGTGCCATCGAGAGAAACAGATCCTGGAGATACTTCTTGTGGCATCCCTCATCCCCTTACAAAACAGATCCTGGAGATACTTCTTGTGGCATCCCTCATCCCCTTACAAACTCCTGGCATCCTTTATGTGCTTATTAATCATGAGCAAAGGCCTGCTCTGAATCACTGGGTGCTGGGAGATCTCCTTTAAATCTAGTATTGTTACTCGCACTGCTTCCTTCATTTTGCCATTTTCCTCTATTTCCCTCTTCTTTCTGTGCTCTTGTTGCTTTGCCTTTCTCTTTTAAACCAAAAAGTCCCAGGCCTCACCACAGTGACATTTTCTCTTCCTGCCATTCCTCTCCCAGTCCAGTGAGGGGCAATAGAAGAGCTGATAAGGGCAGGTTTTCGCCCAGCCCCACATTGTGGTCAGCAGGGCAACACTCTAGCAAGGTAAATGGGTGGGAGGAGAGCCAGGTTTTGGGGTGCCACTTTCAAGCTGTCAGTTGCTATGGAAAGCTACAGGCTCAGGCAGAGTGCCTATGGATACTCGGCATGTGGCTACCTGCCATGTAGCTTCTCTGCATGCTGCCTGCCCATCAAAGGCAGCGGGCAGATGAACTCCTGTGTGCCCCTGTTGGGTTTAGTACATAGACTTTAACCCCATCTTCAAACACCCTCATACCTCTCAGAGAGAGCCCCGCTGTGGAAGTCAAGGCCTGTGGAAGTCAAGGCCTATGGATGTCAAGGCCTTGTGGGAGTGGGTCTGTCACAGGCTTTCATGTTCATGTCTGTTGCACTGTTGTTTGTGTTTCTTGCTTCCTCTCTCCTTTCCTCTCTTCTCATGGGAATGGGAGCACTTTTGTCCTGAGCTCGAGCTGCACACATGACATTTCATGGGGCTTTGGGATGAAAGGTCAAGCAGCAGCCTGGGGGAGCTTTAGTTCTACAGTGTCCTGCTGTGGTTCCTGTCTAACAGGAGACTTTCCTGTTTTCCAGGCCCATGTTCCCAGCATACTCATTTCTTCCCTATAAGGTTTTTTCTGCACAGCCTGCAGGAGCCAAGCATCCTGTGATAACCCATGAAGTTTTGGCTTGCCATGCAGCTAGGCCACTGATGTTCAGCTTCCTCAAGGCACTGCAGCCTAGCCCCCCACACATAACACCACAGGCCTTGCGCCTCTTCTGCTGACAGCTTCTTCCAGCTTGCAGACAGAACCCAGGATAACTCTGCTCCCAGATCAGGCTCAAATGACTTTTAGCGGATTTTTGTCTTTCCCTGCTTTGGTTTCTTAGTGCGTCACCTGTGCAAACTGCGCTGTGGTAGGCAAGCGCAGGAGGGGGTGACCTTGGCCAGTCACACCACTTTTCCATGGTACTTTTCTTGGGTGGCTGCCAACCGGTTTCCTAAACCTCAGAAGAACCTGCAAGAGTCGAGGCACTGTCAGGTCAATGCTCCAGGCTGAAGGGCAAAGTGACAACTTGGTCTTATGGAAGTTCATGGTTCTTGGTGCGGCAATGTCTGGGCCTTCTTTTAGTTAAATGCTGTCATGTGTGCCATCGAGAGAAACAGATCCTGGAGATACTTCTTGTGGCATCCCTCATCCCCTTACAAAACAGATCCTGGAGATACTTCTTGTGGCATCCCTCATCCCCTTACAAACTCCTGGCATCCTTTATGTGCTTATTAATCATGAGCAAAGGCCTGCTCTGAATCACTGGGTGCTGGGAGATCTCCTTTAAATCTAGTATTGTTACTCGCACTGCTTCCTTCATTTTGCCATTTTCCTCTATTTCCCTCTTCTTTCTGTGCTCTTGTTGCTTTGCCTTTCTCTTTTAAACCAAAAAGTCCCAGGCCTCACCACAGTGACATTTTCTCTTCCTGCCATTCCTCTCCCAGTCCAGTGAGGGGCAATAGAAGAGCTGATAAGGGCAGGTTTTCGCCCAGCCCCACATTGTGGTCAGCAGGGCAACACTCTAGCAAGGTAAATGGGTGGGAGGAGAGCCAGGTTTTGGGGTGCCACTTTCAAGCTGTCAGTTGCTATGGAAAGCTACAGGCTCAGGCAGAGTGCCTATGGATACTCGGCATGTGGCTACCTGCCATGTAGCTTCTCTGCATGCTGCCTGCCCATCAAAGGCAGCGGGCAGATGAACTCCTGTGTGCCCCTGTTGGGTTTAGTACATAGACTTTAACCCCATCTTCAAACACCCTCATACCTCTCAGAGAGAGCCCCGCTGTGGAAGTCAAGGCCTGTGGAAGTCAAGGCCTATGGATGTCAAGGCCTTGTGGGAGTGGGTCTGTCACAGGCTTTCATGTTCATGTCTGTTGCACTGTTGTTTGTGTTTCTTGCTTCCTCTCTCCTTTCCTCTCTTCTCATGGGAATGGGAGCACTTTTGTCCTGAGCTCGAGCTGCACACATGACATTTCATGGGGCTTTGGGATGAAAGGTCAAGCAGCAGCCTGGGGGAGCTTTAGTTCTACAGTGTCCTGCTGTGGTTCCTGTCTAACAGGAGACTTTCCTGTTTTCCAGGCCCATGTTCCCAGCATACTCATTTCTTCCCTATAAGGTTTTTTCTGCACAGCCTGCAGGAGCCAAGCATCCTGTGATAACCCATGAAGTTTTGGCTTGCCATGCAGCTAGGCCACTGATGTTCAGCTTCCTCAAGGCACTGCAGCCTAGCCCCCCACACATAACACCACAGGCCTTGCGCCTCTTCTGCTGACAGCTTCTTCCAGCTTGCAGACAGAATCCCTTTGCAATCCTCATGGCCCCACTCCCCAGTGCTGGAAACCTGCTCCACTACACCCCTGGCTGTCCACCCAACCCCTGCTCTGGGTGGTGTCATCTCCTGGGGATAGCAAATGGCCCAGAGCAGGCAAGCCTTGAGTGGCAGGTACCGCAGAGATAGCCATGCCTCTGTAAGGAGAGTTACAAGGGGCACAGTACCACAGATGTGGCCACCCTTCTGAGGTCCAACAGGACTCCAAGGCTTTTCAGTGATTGCTTAGCAGAACTCTCAGCTTAGGACAGAAGAAGGAAAGGTTTTGTAGAATGGGTGGGAAGCCCATTCCTCCAGGGGACATCAGTACTTTGCTCTGGACATATGTTCTGGTGATTGAGGAGAGTGTCTCAGTGTCACAGTTCTCAGGGTGACTGGTAAGGAGGTTGGGAGACATTGTAGTCAGAAGGTATGTACTGAAATGGCACTGCCCCATTCACTGCACTTCCAGTAGGAGGAGAGGGGATGGACCATGCAGGACAGCTTGCAGAGGAGTAGCTGGAGCAGGGAGGGATGGGCAGATATACCACTGCAGTTAGGGAAAAGAGGGGTGACTGGTATCACAGCCCTTCAGGTTGGCCTGAGAAGGTCTCAGCCTCTCTCAGACCCCAGTAATCTGGCATGTGACACATTTTCTTATTCCTGCAGCCTGAATGACTTTGCATCTTGGCGGTTTTTGTCTTCACTAGGAGCCCAGATTGTTCAGGAAACTTTTTCCTTAGGTCTTTGTCTCAACTTTGCCATCAACAGAGATCCCTTAAGACATGTACCAGGACAAATGAGAAGGGGCTTGAATGTCTTTCTCTGCACTCTTGAATTTTGTCCCCTATGTCCCTGGTACAGGATTGCTGCCTCCTTTCACCTGTTTCACACATTCACCTTTCCTCTCCCTCTCCCTTTCCATGTGAAATTTCTCCCCTTCATTCTTTTCTCATCAAAAGCCCCTCTCAGACAAATAGGTCCTTCCACCTACAGTATCTCCAGCAGTGGCATGGTCTGTGGTGGTGTGTGGTGGGAGACAAAGGCAAAGAAGACTGAGCCAATATCCAGCGCCTGATGTTCTCCACCTGCTGCCCTCACTGTGAGCATTGGCTGCTCTGCCCCACCATACACCCTGCTCAGAACTTGTTTTGTCTCTATTGAGTGCCTTGGTATTGCTGGGCAGGCAGTTCTGGGGAGCCCAGCCAGCAACCAGAGCTATGCTTGCAGTCATGACAAGGACTTTTTACACCACAATCAGACTGAAATATTACTGAGGCCATCTGGAAGAGGAGAGTTCGCTGTGAACCAATGTGCACCACGCTTTTGTACTGGTCCCTGTCCTGGCTTTTCTGCCTGGCAAAAGGGAGTCATGAAGATCCCAGGGGGGACTGAGCTAGGAAGCTGCTCGCTCTCAAGTGTGCTTGTCTGTGCTCACAGGTCTGTGAAGAAACGAGCGTCACACAAGCCTTTGCTTCAAAAAAGCTCCTCTCTGGTAGGTAAGGAGCTCTACAGCAGGCAGGGAGCACGCTTATACCCTTACAGCTAAACATGTTGTCTCTTACACCTTTTCTCATTTTCTTTTTATTTATAGAAGTATCTCCAGCTTCATCCAGTTCTGGGAATTTCAGCCAATTCACACCAGATTCAGCCACCAGTCCACATTCCTCATCCTCATCCCCACAGCCTACAGCTAAGTCTCAGGAGGGCAGAGAATATGGCGTGGAGGGGATCAGGAAGACCAAGAGCCGGACAGCTTTCTCCAAGGAGCAGCTGCTAACCCTGCACCAGCGCTTCCAGAGCCAGAAGTACCTCAGCCCCCAGCAGATCCGGGAGCTGGCTGTTGCCCTGGGGCTCACCTACAAGCAGGTGAACACAGAGACTTTGACCCACAGTGTATCGATCTCACAGTGGTCACTTAAGGAAGTGCCAGGATGGAAAGATGAGTCCCCAGTAGGGACTGAGGCAAAGGTGCCAGCTAACAGTTGCTCCCCTGCTTATGCATGCCCAGAGATCAGAAGCACTTTGCAGATAGAGGGGTCACTGGCACCTCATTTAGGTCTCCCAAGCCAGGGGTCGGTTAAGGGTTCTGTTACCAACACCCGTAGTAGAATTGCAAACCCAGTGATGAATATGTTCTTCACCACAAACAGTCTCTACCCCGGGCTTGACAGCACTTCACAGATGTTTTCATACGCTGTGAACTTCTCAGAAATCCTGGCATGCATCTGTTCTCTGAATCACGGGGCTGCTGCTGCGACATGCTGAAAGCTCTTGCTAGTGTCTCCCGGGTCTTATCTTGTCCAGTATCTAATAATGCTCCACACTCAGCACTGCCTGGCTGCTTGACACGTGCTCCCTCCTCCCCGTGGGTGCTGCTAGGTTCACACATCACTGCCCTTTAGGGTCTCTGCTGATCTCCAGGTAGGTTGTGTGTAGTGAAATGATGCTGCCTCCAATTATGCTTTCCTAAAGCAGGAGGCTGGGCAATGGGGCACGAGCTCGCAGTTATAAGTCGAAAAGCTTCCTGAAATTTGAATCTCAGAGCTGGGCATGATGGCCGGGATGCCCTGGGACTAAAAAAGTTATACGTGCATTGTAAGTGCATGCATACAGCACACACTGAACTGGTTCCAGTCAGGAACAAGGCAGGTGGGACAGTCTGCTATCGCCTTCAATCCACATCCCTGCAAAGGCTGCTTTCACAGTGCAGACACAGCCCCGGGGGGAAATGGCCCTGGAATTTGCCCTAGCAAGGAGCTTTGAATTTGGGAACTGCTGGGGACCAGGAGCAGGTTTGTTTGCAAATATGCAGAAACAGCATCTTAAAAGTTTGCCTGTAGTACAGGGGGCTTGTAGAGGTGTCGTGGATCTTGATTTACACCAGTCATTCACCTCCATGTTTGGAATGAGTCGATTTGTCCCAACTATCACTGTCCCTTGACACCGACCACCCCTCCCCCATCACACAGTTGCACTAGCCACCTGCTGAGGCTGCTAGACAGACCTCTCCCCGTGGCAACACCCCCCAGGAGTTCTTAAAGGCTTTTATCTGCTTCTGCCCATGTATCTCTGCCATCTGGTCACTCCCTCTGGTTCTTGTAAATTTGGTTACATTTGTTCTTCCCTCTCCTTTGCTGACATTTTCTCTGCTTTCCCTTCCCCTCCCAGGTGAAGACTTGGTTCCAGAATCGGAGGATGAAGCTGAAAAGGTGCCAGAAGCAGAGCCTGTGGAGCGAACGGGCTCAGTGTCTCACGCAAGTAAGAACACAGCCCATGGCTCATCATGGCTCTTCTGTCTGGGCAGATCAGCCCCATATTTCCTCCATGGGGACAGCTTAAGCACACAAGTGTGAACAGACCTGGCCTTTTGGTTTGCTCAGCACAGAGGCACAGACTTGGCACCACACCATGTGTACTGGTGGTAGCCCAGAAGTGGGCTGGCTATACCACAGAAATGTTTCCAGGGAAAAGCTGTTTTCCTCTTATGTGTATATGAATGTATATATGATTGTGTATCCACCCCTGAGCTATGTGAATGGACATAGTTCTTCTTGCCCTCCATGCCATTGCTGCTGGTGAACAGACAATGTGAAATGTGAAGGGACAGAGCCCCAGTACACGTCAGGCCTGTGGACACCAGTGGAGAAGCTATGTGTTCTGACTCTCCGCCTTTCCCTTTCAGAGTGGCTTCCAGAGCGGTACTTACCTGGACGTGCACCCCAAATTCCACCAGGGCTACCCCATCACCACAGCTGGCAACATCCAAGCCATGCCTGCCCCCTGTCAGCACTACGGAGCAGGGCAGAACGCTTACACAATCGTGACCAGCGAGGATGGAGGAGTCTTTGGCAAAGGCGGGGGGACCTGCAGTGTCCAGCAGACAGTGGGCTTCATTGCTCAGCACAAAGTAGACTTTTACCACAGCTATCCTGGCAGTGTGGAATATCCAAGCTCAAAGACAGGTGATGGTTGTAATTTTCACCACTCAGCCACTATGGGAGCTCCTTTCCCAACTGCTGCCAGCCATCATCTTTATCATTCCTAAGCACTGTGGGGTACTTGGGCAGCCAGGAATCAAATCTTATTCTCATCTCTCCCTTTGTTATTTGTGTGCTGGCCACCTCAGCGACACCTTGTAGCTGAAACCTGTTTTGGCATCCAGATGTGTGCCTGCAGACACGCAGCTGTGCAGAGCCCCATTTGCCCAGGTACACAGAGCCCTTCATTTCAGTGCCCGTACACGTGCATAGACACATTCCTGTCTTGACTGGCACAGAAAACCAAGCTGCCTTATAACAAAGCCCAAGATCTGGCTACCCAGCTTATGCCCTGGATCTTCTTAATTATGGACAATGTAACTTGTCTAAGGGGAAGCACAGATTCCTTTGGGAATCTCATTTCTATGTATCACTGTACAGTTGTGTGTACATAACACATGAAGCCAGGGGCTCTATGGAGAGGTGCTGGTCACTTACCTTTAACTTAAGTTGGAGAAGTTATTGCCACGTGCCAGTTATCCATTTGAAGTGTAAACCATCAGTTGTGTATATCAGCCATGAAGCGTCTAATGAAGGGAGTTGTGACAAGTAGCTTGCAGAAAGGCTGGTAAGATGATCTTGTAAGCCCTTCCTTCTAGTCTGTATCTTTCTCTGCCTCCCCCTGAGAAAACCTAACAGTGCATTCAATTTGGCAAATAAAAAGAGTACTTTTTAAGATGCATTATGTATTTTTATATACATCTCTCTTTTCCCCACTGCAATAGAGCATTGCAACATAAAAAACAGATGGAACATAAATAGCCATAGCAACAGTATGCCATTGTTACTTGATGCTGAAACTATAAACAGAAAATTTTCTGTGTTATTAGTGGATCAGCTTCATGGCTCTTGGCAATGCCAGATATCTCCAGTCAAAGAAACAGGTGAGTAACTGCCACCCACCTTAAGAATTTTCCATATCCAGCAGTATTGAATACAGGGACTGTCATGGAGGTACTATCATTTCTAAACTTGACTATGTAAGTGTCTAAGTACCTAAAACCAGATGTGTGTAGCAAAGAATATGTAATAACAGGCTTCCAGTTCCCTGAGTCACACATTTTCTATCACGTTGATGACAACGAATTTCTCTTAATGCAATGAAGTAGCTGCCATGGTTAAAAAAAAGGAGCATAAAATGAAGGCAGTGATTTCTGTGACTGGAATAATAAGAGGCATGGTCTTCCACTAGCAAAGCTGATTTATGTCCCTGTGCCTCACATGTTTGTTCCCTTTCTCACTCCCTCATGCAGACACTCTGACTACTGTAAACTGTATGCTGTGCTGACTTTGGCTGTGTTTGTTAGTTTTCTTCACAGTATCTGGGATGGGGCTGTGTTTTGGATTTGTGCTGAGAATGGAGTTGATAATACAGAGATGTTTTCATTACTGCTGAGCAGAGCTTGCACAGTGTCAAGGCCTTTTCTGCTTATCATTATCTCCCTGACAGCCAGAAGGCTGGGGGTGCACAAGGAGTTAGGAGGAGACATAGCTGGGAAGACTGACCCCAAATGGATATTCCATACCGTATGGCATTGGGATCAGCGTAGAAAACTGGGGGGAGAGGAAGAGGAGGACATCCAGAGTGATTGCCTTTGTCTTTCTAAGGGATCATACACAGGATGGGGCTCTGTTGTCCTGGAGGTGGCCTGCCTATGGGAAGGGGTGAATTAATTCCTTGTTTTGCTTTGTTTCTGTGCGGCTTTTGCTTTACCTATTAAATTGTTTTTATCTCAATCCATGAGTTTTCTCATTTTTAGTCTTCTGATTCTCTCCCCCGACCCAGTGGTGGGGAGTGATCAAGTTGAGTGGCTGCATGGTGCTTATTTGCTGCCTGGCATTGAACCGGAACACGTGGCCGGCCCGATTTGAGGAAAGATAATGCCTTTTGGATGGTGAGTCATGTTGTTTTGGCACAGCCCCTGCCCTCTCCTCTTGCAACCATCAAGTGGCTAAGGATGGGCAAGACTGTTGAAAGCATCAGAGGGGTGGGGAACAATTAAGTCGACTGAAAAGGTGCTGGCTAACATCGGAGGGTGGACAATAGCGGCAGTTATCAGGGCTCTCACACCAGAATGAAGATATTTTTCAGTTCTTCTCAAGCCAACTGTTGTATTTACTTACCTGAATATAATCTAAAACCTTTCCATACCAACCCATCAAAGGCGTCTGTAGGTGAAAAAAGTTGAGCTTGCTGCACGTCCTCACTATTAATTCTGGGCAAAAAGGAGTCACATGTCATGTCCTGCTCCTTCAGAGATGCTTTAGGACAGGCAGGATTTTGCTGTGGAGGCAAATAGCAAGGAGCTTTCTGCAAGTCAGTCCCAGAGCCTCCACAGCAAAGTAGTGCTAACAAACGGTACCAGATCTTGCGGTTTCCTCAGAGACACAATTTTTCAGAGGTAACATCCAAAGATAGACCTTATTGCCACAGGTGGTTATGGAATCCAAAAGCCTGCAGCAATTCCAAACAGGCAAGTAAGCAGCTCCCAGAAAGGGAGATCACTGATGTCTGCTGTATCAGGAGCTGCATTCCCAATGTTCTGTGTAAAAACAGCAGGAATGGAGCTACTGTTAGAGGGAGTCCCTCAGCCACAGCCAGCCAGAGGGACACTGGGGTTTCTTTTCTGGTCTTTCTTGAGTATCTAAGCAATTACTTAGCTGGATCTTGGGGCTCCCCCAAAGCAAAATTCCCAGCGTCGTAATTTGTAAAAGATTTAATGGTCTGGACACTCTCCAGCTGCTACACAGCAGATGGACTTTTGTCAAGTATGAGAAATTAATTCTAGCCTGGTTATGAAAGAGATTCTCAGATATGACCCGAGGGTACTCTTCAAAATTTTGGACAGCATGAAAATACATGACCCTCACAGGTAGGAAAAGACTTGGGAGTGTAGTTTCTTGGGTTTCTTTTTTTTTTTTGTGTGTTTTTTTTTTTGTTTTTTTTTTTCTTTCTTTTGTTTTAATGTCCAAGTGCAATGATTTAGTCATTCATGCCTCAATGACTACTCAATATCAGCCAATATGCTGCTGCCCTCTGATGACAGGCCAGGCAAGAGACGTGTGGCAAAGCTTGACTGAAAATTTCCAAAACCCTGTTAGCTCTGCCTTAAGAGTCATGAGGTGAAGTTACATAGCTAAATATGCCTACATATGCCTGTAGGGAAGAGCTTATTAAAGCAAAGATCATTACTTCTATCTGCACTAGAGAGACAAATGGGGCTGTGAACCCTTGCTCCTGGATCACTCGGAAAAAACATGTAGCTTGTCAAACCCCTGCAGGCCACACTGACATGGAGAGCAAGGAATGAGGTTGTTTCCACTGCTCTTGGTATTTTCCCTATGGGACAGCTGGAACCCAGTGAACTACAAAGTAAAATCCCGTACCAGACCCAATTTCTTCTGTTTAGGTGGGATTCTATATCACTGGAACTACATCTGCAGCTTTTTTGTCACTGCAGATATTGTAAATGAAGAGTGTATTCCCACAAGCTGTAACACATAAGAAGAGCTCCAAATCATCTTACAGCATGATCCTAAAATGATTTGCTAGCAAAGCAAATCATGTTTGCAGTGTGCAGAGATCACTGTTACACAGCAGTCACAAGAAGCAGCAGTCCTAACAGAGGTGTAATGCATCCTAGCAGTAAGACCTTTTGCTGGCATGCACTTTCTTCCTCTAAGGAATTAATACCAACACTTCTGCAAGTATGAGGCTGGGGGCACCTGCATCTCCACCACTTTTGGTAGTAGTGCCCAATTACCTGTGCAGTTGTTTCACATGGTGATGTGAAAGTAACAGACCACCAGCTCTGTGGACAGAGTCCTGTTTTTTAATTCCACAGGCTCTAGAAACACTTCCTGGGCAACTAGGAGTCCTTTCCAGCCCACCTTCCAAAACTCAAAGAACAGCTGCTCCGCATGTTCCCTCCAGCTACATGTGCTTGCCAAACCTGCACACAGCCCAGGCTGAGCAACTGGGGGAATTACACAGCCATGAGGGAACACTCAATTTCCTCAGAACACTCCCACAGTACATGGAGCAACAAACCACAACATGCAGAACAATCATTCTCAGCCCCAGGGCTGTTTTAGCAACAATATGTTTTTGCAGAAGAACATCTGCCAGCAGAGTTCTGGCTATCTCCTTACCCTTGCAGCAGACACATGGAACCAAAACACATGAAGCAGCACAGGTAAACTGCAGCAGGCACCCTCTGCAATTGTTTTACAGAGGTCTGTATATTATTTCTTTAAAGACTGCATCTTAAAAGAACCCCAAAATCATAAGCTGCTCATTTTAAAGCTGAAAGACAAAGCATAGTATGTATGACTTGTAGAGGTGACTTATATGGTTCAGCTTTATTTTTTCAAGGCAATTTTTGAAATTAATACTATTGCTAGAGAATTACCCAAAATTCATTCAATGCTACTGGGATATGAATCTCCCATCCAGATAGGAAAGGAGCTCTTGTTCTGTAATACAGAAAACCACATCAACCTGGCATTTCCCCCTCTTCTGGGCAAGACTTACCTTTTTCTCCCGTTTTAAAGTTGGCAGCCCATATATATAAGTGACTTCTTCTTTTGTCCTTCTCTACACAGCCTCTGCTCCTTTCTCCTTCCTGTACCTACTGTACCTTGCCTCAGGAGCAGAGCATTGCAGCACAGCAACAGGAAGAGAGGGGATATATGCTTTTGCACCCACACAAGCAGGTCCTGTTCAGCAAAGGACCTGCAGTAGTTTGGGCCTGAGCAGTCAGCTGGCAGTTTAGCTAATCGTGCTCGGTGGGAGGACCCATGGAATTTTCCTTTTTGGACAAATGAAGGGTTTCAGTGGTGTAGTGTGCTTTGAAGAACGCGGGATTAAACCAAACACAATTTCTGCTAGTTTGGAGTATGACTAAATAGCAACTCGGTTCTGGTTTTGTTTCAATACTGGAGGCAGGAGATTTAGTTACTTAGTCGCAGACTTCTGTTGCCATTTGAGATCAGCACAAGAACCCCAACAGAGCTGCATGTTTAATGAAGCGGAATTCCAGACCTCCAGTTGTGAGCTTCTGGAGCACCAGCAGGAGGCCACACAATCTCCAGGACACTTTCTTTTGCTCCATTCTCCTTCAATACTTTTTTGGAGCGTTGCTGCCTCAAGGGTTAATAGAAGTACGTTACAGGGCTGCACATCACTTCAAGCCAGCAGCTTGTCCAGTTGCCTAGCCCTAGAGCCTCCCCCACCCTCCTTAGTAGGCTACACACCTGCATATTAAAAACAGGCTGATTATTAAAATAAAGTAATTTATTTTCAATTCAAACTTTGTAAGAACATTAAGAACACTGAACATTAACCAGAAAAACCAATAAAACATGGACATAACATAAAACATATTTGGTAACTGCAAAAAACAGACTTTATGAAAAAATTATTCAGCAACAACAAACATTCACCTCCTTTGCAGTGGAAGCTCTGCTGCAAGACACAGGGCAAGGACCAGAGATCACCTGCTAGAGAGGCAGCAAAGAAGGTGAGACTTGAACAAGGGAACAGACCTTAACAACCTCTGCTGTTCACAGCTGCAACATTGCACACTGGCCTCAATGAATGAGGTTCAAACTCATCAATACCCAAAGCATCTTTGCCAAGGGTTAGCTATGAACAGACAGGCACACTTAAATAAGAAACTAGCACCAGGGTGCTGAGCCCCCCCAGTAGTTTAAACAACAGTAGCAGGAGGAGCAAGAAAAACAAATAGAACATGACTTCAAAACCCTGGAAATCCCATGGGTGAGCACAAGAGGTTGGAGAAAAAAATTTCTCAGACCTGAGACTCATACCCACTCTGGGTCCCCATGGGATGCCAAGGTAACTGGCATTGATTCTGTATAGGAGAGCTCGAAAATGATGTGACAGTGTCAGAGGTGCTCTGAAAGTTGAAGGCATCTTCAACCTCCACGCTGACATAATCTATATTGTCAAAGTAGCTGTGATAAAAGTTCATTTGCTGGCTTAATAAACCCATGGTTTGCTGGGTATTGCAGCTTGTCCCACCTTTTCCTAAGAGCCCCTCATCCTCCACGGAGGGGAACGAGTACAGGTTCTGCCCATTCCCGTATGTCTGTCCGCTGCTGTAAGCCTGGTGCACGTTGGGCACAGCCTGAAAGTTCCTGCTGGAACCGGCAGGGAAGACCTGGTGGAACGTGGGTGCTATGTCCAGGTATGCAGCCTGATGAACCCCATTCTAGGAGACAAAGAAAGTCGTTCAGCAGTGCAGAACCACACCAACGGCCCATTATTTCGGATGGGCCCCTCCTTTCTCCCCCAGCCCCCCCCCTCCAAGACTAACAATAGCAGTCTTTTTCATGCCCATTGTCTTCCCAATAGACCAGTAATTGCTAACCGCTCATCTCAGCTATCTGCAGCTCAACGTGTCCAGGAACAACCACGATGGGGTCGGGGGGAACCAGCTTAAAAACCATTGTTACAAGGAATACAACTGGCTTGGTAATATTGAGTCCTGTGGCTTGTTTGAATTACCAAGTTGGACATGATACACTTCTCCCCGCAGACTGGAAGAGCCGTGACTGGTGGTGATGGGGAAATTTACTCACCTGTGGTAAATACATCCCTTTATCCATCCACTGGCTCTCCTTTTGGCAACGCTTAAATTTCATCCGTTGATTCTGAAACCATGTTTTCACCTACAAGTGATGCATACAAGGCATAAATTAGAAATTAATTATTAAGAGCTTACTACACATCCTTATTTCTGCTACAACCCCGTTTCTGACTTTTAATACTGTAAATAATTTCAGCAGCTAACAACGTGCAGCAGATGCAGGTGGCTGTGAAATCACTGAGCTGAGACATGAAAACAAACCTTCCTACTCCTCACCACCTGACCTTTCCGGACTTCAAATCCATACCTAACTAAAACTGCAGAAATCAGCTTGTACAGCACCATCTCACTGCTGTGCCATGGTCAGGGCTCAGGAGTGAGTCGTTCCTTTAGTCAGACACAAGCAGCTGCTGGGGCAAGGGCCCTCCCTCTAGGGAGAGCCCACGGCGCCACTCCGACTAGGAAAGGCCACTTGCACTTTCACAGTGCAAGTATCTTTCTGCACTCAGAGACAACACATGTCCAGCAGAACAGTAACCTGGCTCCGCACAGCCCTGCTTTGCTGCTCTGCAGGGCCTTTCAAACACCTGCACGGAGTGGGTGGATAGTGCTGGAACCAAACATAAGGCTGAGTCATAGATTTTCACACCCTCTGCTCTCTCATGTAAGAGGTACAATTTACAAGATAATGAAAGAAATTTCGCTCTGGGGTCCAAGAAAAACCAAACCAACCCAAAAAACCCCACAACCCAAAAAACCACGAAACACAAAAACAAAACAAAAAAAATAAAGACCCCCCAAATCAGTTGCTGCTAAAAGCAAGAGGTTCACCTGCTTGTAGGTGAGCTCAAGGGCAGCAGCCAGCTCCCGGATCTGCTGGGGGCTGAGGTACTTCTGGCTCTGGAAGCGCTGGTGCAGGGCTTTCAGCTGCTCCTGCGAGAAGGCTGTGCGGCTCTTGCCTGTCTTCACCACACCCTTGCCTTGCGCCTTGACCTTCGGGAGAGAGGAGTGTGGTGACGGGCTCCCCGCTGCGGTGGGGCTGGTGGCGGAGTCGGGGGTGTGGTACTGCGTGAGTGTCCCGGAGCTGGAGGAAGCTGGAGAGTCAACTGAGGAGAAAAGAGAACTGCGGTGAGCAAAATAAATCAAGGAAGACTCAAAAAACCTTGAAAGCCCAACTTATCGGGAGAATTTGAGATTACGAGTGCCCTGGGGCCCCGCAGCCGTGGGCAGCAGGGCACAGGTCGCCTCACGGCAGCGGAGCCGATGGGCTCCTTCGTCCCGTTCCGTCTGGGCAGTGGCCACGCTGGCTCCCGGCTGCCGCCCGCAGCATCGGCATCGCCTCCCAGCTCCGGGGCACACGGCCGCTCCCAGGCCAGGGCCAGGGCATCCCGATCGCTCGGCCACGTACCTGAGGGACTGGGTGTCTTGGCCGCGGGCAGCGGGAGCGCGTCGGGCGCCGGAGCCTCCTCGGTGGGCACGCCGTCCATGCTGCCTGCGGAGAACCAGTAGTAGTCCCCGTACCTGGCCGCGCCAGAGTAGAGTACATACTGCGGCGTGGCTAGGTGGGTGCTCATAGCCCGGCCGGGTCCCCCTGCCCCAAGCATGAGTGGAGGTGACGGTCGAGACTGGCGGCAGGCCGCGGACAGGCACTCCTTTGGGGGGGAGATGGGGGGGATGCTTTAAGTCCGCCCCAGCCTGGCCTTGACTGGAGGGTATTGTGATGGCCATTGTCATGTTAAAAGTTAGTTGATTGTGGGGAAGGGACTTCGAGGGTATTCAGGCACCGGGGGAGGGCCGAGACACCGAGCTGCGCTTGCCAGCTTGGCTGGTAGATGCCGCGATGGGGATGAGTCCATCACTCCCCGCTGGGGCGTGGGAAGGAGGCGCTCGCTCTGCCCTCGGGGCTGAGCGGATTCCCCGGTGAGTTGGACGGAGCTGGGCACACACCCCCCACCCCCACATTTCACAGATCCCCACCCAAACAGAGAGAATTGGCCCCGGAACCCGCCGCGGGGCATGAGGAGACTTTGTGCGTCTGCATTGCAGATCGCAACCATCATTGCAGAGAGATAAGCCCTCCACCTCCCCGCCAGTGAATCCGGACTGGGGGCAGGGGGCATGGCCCTCCAGAGCCGTGTCTGTATGGCCGGGAAAAGGGCTCAAAGAAAGCCAGGCTGCTTCTCCCAGCGGCTCGCCCAAGGCTGAGCCAGGCAGTCTTGTTCTGCATATTTTCCAAGGTTCTTTCCTCCGCCATTTAAGACTTACTAAAAAGTGATACCTTAAAACAAAAAAAATTTTAAAAAATTGTTACTCAGCAGGGAGGGATAGGAATCACCGGGTCAAATTCAAAAGGAGACAAGAGCACTGCAGCTGTAAAAGAGCTCTGCAGATCTTAAGGATTTGAAGTTAGGGCCTATGGCCTTCTTGGGGAGAATAAACTGTTTCCCATGCCACCCTCCTCCCCAAGCTATTACTGCTTACTTTAAGGAAATAAAAAACTTGTCGGTAGGAACTCACACCCCGGGAGTTACAAAATCTGGAAAACCACCTGGAAAAAGTACAAAAGAAGGCATGTGATGCACCAAGCAAATTCCCCACCTCCTCCAGTGCAGAGAAACCGGACATAGGCAGGGATGTAGCTACTAACCTGCTGCACTGCTAAACGTCTTTGGGACCTGACAGAGAAAGACCTCCCTTGATTTCAATTTATCTCCTCCTCCCATCCTGAGTCCTAACGAGCCCCGGCTGCTCCCCTGAGCCAGCAAGGAAGGGTCATTGCCGGGCTTACTTTTGATCATCTCCTAATTAATGATTTCGTTTCTCAGAATCCGCACAAGATCCAGTCAGGACTATTAGGAATGTGGGAGAAAGAGGTTATAATCTCTTATAATGAAAATGGCGAGGTGCGAGGGCTGAAAATTCCGAGCCAGAGCCTGAGCCTGAGCCTGGTTCTGGCCCCGGAGCAAGCAGAGGCAGCCGGGCTGTGGGTTTTGGGCAGGTCACTCGCTCGGTGCTCGCAAAGCAGATGCACGAACGGGAAGGGATTTTCCCTCGGAGGCGAAGCCGTCCTGCTGCCCTTGGCGGGCAGAGAGCCGCCTGTCCCCGTGTCCCCTGCTGGCAGGGCTGCCCGGGGACACGCGTGATCCCCGCGGGCGCTCCCCGAGGTCGCCAGAGCAGCCCCTTGCAAACCGGGAAAAGCCGCGGGGTTTGTGCAAGCCCAGCCCTGGTGTTCGGCGGCCCCAGAGGCTGCGGGAACCCCCGAGTCGTGAGAGAACACGCGGCTGAGGGATTAGAGTTCTAGAGACGGAGTAACACCGCCTCTGCCAGCAAATCCTCCCTCGCAGAGCTGCGCGTGTGTGTTTGGAGAGGCAGCAGGACTGCTCACACTCTGCAATTTTCATACATAGATCAGTTTTGGTGTATATACCAGCTTCTGTCCCGGGGTCAGACCTGCTTTGTAGTGATCATGCAGCTGATTTAATTCTCCTCCCCACCTTTTTTTGTCTTTGTTAATATTTTCGTTTTCTCATCCCATTTGTCCTCCATTCCCTTTCTTTTATGCTTTAACCACCAAATCTCTTTTCCACACGTCCCCTTCGAGTGAGGATAATTTGTTCCCTCACCCAACAGTACCACCAATCACTTCACCAAACATATCTTTTTAAATGTAATTGTGAGAGAAATAAGACTTGTGTAAGTGTATAAAACCATACCATCTAAAGTCAGAATTTATTAAGGAAAATAAATCCAGTTATTTTCCCCCAAATAAATGATACACATGGAAACATTTGCAAAGGTAAATCCAGAAGTCATACACAGGGAATGCTATGGGAAACATGATGTGGACATTTAGGAAGCTCACGGGATGATGAGGTCTGGAACATCTGCCTGTGGCATCATCAGCTTTCAGACTGGATATACTGCCCATGAATATCTAGAGCTGATGTGCTTTTAAAAAAATGTTAGGAATTTTTTTTTAAATTTAAAATGTTAAAATCTGTAGAGATTATGTGCTTTTAAAAAGTGTTGGGAATGACTCAGAGCAGATGCAAGTATCCACTTGTGTTCCTTTTGGAACTGTTTTCAGCTGAAACAGCAACACAGGTCAGATCTAGTCTAATCCTGTTTTTCCCAACAGGGCCAAATAGTAGGAGCAATTTGTGTTTTGACCCTGGATTGTGTCCCCCTCTCCCTTCATTCTGTGGCTACCCCATTCTTTTTCAGTTCTTAGCTCATTATGCGCTCATTATGTACTGTGGAGCATTAGTCAGGTGAGTAATAAGAATAATGACTTATTCTTGACACCCATACCCCCACCCATGAAATTGTTTGTAAAGACATTAGCATGCATCTCTCCTGTGAAGTGTATGGGGCTGAATGCAGCCACTCTCTGGGCTGTAGCATGCTCTAACAAGCCCTTTCTGTAGTGCTCCAGCAGCAGAGACAGAAGCTCAGGTCCAAAAGCAGTCTTGGTTTCCTTGTCTAAGAAGATGGGACTGTGGCTGGAAGGTGTTTCATCCAGGAAGTACCCCCGACAAGGATCTCCCATTATTCTCAGTAGGGTCCCTACCTTCAGGGGGCTGGAGCTCAAGCTTGCTCTGAAGTGATGCAAAACCACCAGTTTACATAGATGGAGGCTGGGGAAGCACCAGCTGGCTAATGCTGTAAATCCAGCTCTGGAGCTCACACCACTGGGTCAGAAATGCTGGGCTTTTCCTACCTCAGAGCATCGCTTAACTCATTTTGATCAACAGGATAATGCTGTAGTGGTAGAGATCGTCTCGAATTTTACACAGATTAGGTGCTCTCCTGCCTCCTACAGCTGGCTGTAACGTGGGATCCCCTGTGTTTTGGTTTACCAATATCTGTGCAGTGCCTTTGCGTGTCGCTGTGCCACTCTGCTCCTGTTGGTGCTGCTCAGCGGGGCAGCAGGGTGCTGGCTCGGTATTGCTGAACAGGGAGCCACGGCCAGAGCCCCACTGCCCCTCGGGGGTTTTCCTGGGAACCACCATCCTCTGACAGCGATGTGGGTGCTTGGGGAAGGCAACTAGAAATCCTTGCCTTGTATTCTGTTGAGCTTGTCAGAGCTTTCGTCCCCAGCAGGCACCTTTAATTTTATTATTTTATTGTTGTTGTAAGCGAACACCCCCCAGGTTAGACGTATGAAAACACTCCTGCCCTGCAGACCTCAATACTTGCCCAGCCCTTGGCTCTGGACAGCCTGTCCCAGATAGCGTGGTCATAGTCTGCAGTCTGGAGCCAAGATGACTGACTGTAGAAGGAAGGGAATTGAGAAAGAAAAACAAAAATTAGGTCCTCATTCATATTAAAATACAGTTTTTCTTTCTCTTGACTCTTTAGAGGAGCAGGTAGAGAAAAGGACAAATCTTGTCCCTCCCCCGGCAGCCCAGTCTCTCAATGCCCTGAGAATTACTGGATGATGTGGCCTTTTGTTAGCTCTGTGGGGGCAGACTGGAACGGGCATCCATGGCACAAAGCCAAGTGCTTCCCTGAAAAGGCAAGAAAGCTGCGTGTCAGAAAGCAGGTGGGAAGCAGGCTAGGGAGCGCATGAAATTCTGGGGTTTGATAGGTCTGTTCTTTCTTTAGCAATCCTTCATCCATGCCTGCCATGCACTTGATGCCAGAGTGCTATAGCTGTAAGCACTCATCTCAAGAAGCATCCCCTACCAGTGCCCATGAGCTGGGATACGGAGCAGTCTTGCAAACAACTTGGAGCCAGGGTTATGTGAAGTCCTGGGGAACGTGGAGAGATGTGCATATCGGGCAAAAACCTTCCAAGCATCCTCTCTGCAGGAATCCTCCCCTCTCCCCGCTATCCCTGGTGTGGGTGTTCCCACAGGCTCAGTTAGAGTCCTCTCACTAAAAGCAAGCAGACAGAGCTGTCTTCCAATGCTTTCTGCCGTTTCCACCCAAAGGGGGGAATGACAAATTCCGTGTTTTGCACTGTACCAAGGCCCTGTGCTTGGCGTGAGCCACCTCCCCCACTCTCCTCGAAAGGCTGTTCTACATCAAGCACTTGGTCTTTTGTTCTCCAAACACACACCACTCCTGAACTTTGAAATTACATAGAAGGGTTTTTCCCCCTCCCCTGACACCTCTTTGTCTTCCTTATTCTCATAGGGATAGCTTCCTACAAAATGCAGTGCTGCCAGAGCCTTCAGTTCAAGTGGGACACTGAAGGGCTGGCTGAATCTCGTGCTCTCTCAAGTTCACCACGTATTATGGCACCTGCTTTCTCCCACATCTCTCGTCTGAGGGTGATCCCATGTATGTGCCCATGGTAAATTAATATCAGGACAGAGCTAATGAGGATTATGTGCCAAGTGGGTGCCTGTAATCACACTCGTGCAGGCCATAAGTGGGCATACAGTCTGGAAGTGCTTCTAACACATACACGTCCCACAACCAAATTCTTCCAAGTTAGCACATGCTTTTCAGGCAGTGCCAAATCTGTGCTATCTGCTTGTTTGGGTTTTTTTTTTTTTTTAAGTCCCAGGAAGTCCCCAAAGGAGCAGATCACCTGTGATGCAAGTGTCTTATTACAGAGAATGCTGGTGTTAGGAAAAATGGTGCTCAGTTTCAAATCTGTCAGGGCTTGAGACAGGGATCCCCCCATTACTTGGCCCTCGTCCCCACCTATACACCCTCCGCTTTTCTCCAGGAGCGGCTCTTGCACATGTATTCATGAGCGATTAGCAAGTGTTAGAGCCTGAGGCTCCCTGGCTGGCACCCGCTCTACATCTGAATGGCAGAGCCGGTAAGCCCAGGGCTGTGGAATGGGATCTGCAAGTGGATGTTGTCTGCGCCGCCTGACGGAAGAAAAAGATTTACCTGCTTTTGTCTGACGATATTTAGATGGTCGACCTGGCTGAGATGGAAAGAGAAAGAGACAAAGAAGAGACGAACAGTGAGAGGAGCTTTCTTAACTGGGTGTCATTTGTCTAGGAATTAAAGCTAGTGAAGGGTGGAAAGTGGACAGGGGAACATAGCACTGCCATCATTACTGTTGTAAAGGTTAAAATGACCTGTACTTCATCTTTTTAAAATTCCACGGAGCTCAAATTAGGCTGTGAAAGCACATCGTGCGGGGGCAGCAACAAAATACCGAAGAGACCATAGTATGAACTGCATCTGTCCCCAGGTGCGAGGTCAGAAGCCACAGAATCATACAGTGAAAGAGCTCCAGACCCCCAGACTACTGTGCCAAAATAAAAATGCTTTTCCAGCAGAGCTTAGTCATGATGGAGCCATGACTGTCTGTGTTGAGAAAAACATTTTGCTAAAAATTCGTTGTTTAACCCCAGTTGTGTCTTTCATGCAAACTCTGGGGTTAAGACAGGCCTGAGAACACCTTCTCTTAACTCCACTCACGACTATATTGTTTTGCTGTAGTTATAAACAGACTAATAATAGTGCCAAAAATGCTTGCAGATGCAAAGTAACCTTGCAGAGTATTTAATGGCTTTGATGCAGGTGTCAAGTTGTGATCCAGCAGGGCTCTCTAACATGAAAGTGCCTCAGACGTTTCTCTTCACTCACTGCACCCATCAAACTTCACCAGTTCTCCAGCAGAAATGGTCAAGTCAGGTGTAAGTCATCTCTCCTCAGCCCCTGCAGTTCACAGACAGCACATTGACACAAACCACCAAAGATTTCAGTTTCTGTCAGTATCCACCTGCTCTGTGAACCAATGTG